ACACATCATTTTTTAAAATATGCCGCAAGCTCGTATCCGTGAACTGCCGAAGATATGGCTACTTACCCTGTACATGTTACAGCCGTCTAAAATGCTCACTGCAGCAGTCTCGCAGTATGTTCGCATAATTTTATGATAGCTGTCAAATCTAACAGTATTCCCAAACACCAGTACAAGCACAACCTAGTAAAAGTCAAAGGAAGGAAGAAATTTGATCAAAAGTGAGGAAAAAAAAACAGCGATAGGGCTTAGTGTCTCGAAAAATTATTGCTTTGGCAGAGTGGATGAGCTGAAGTATGCAGGAGTTAAATAGGACAAATTTTGACCGCAGCGAATTTATAAATAAGTAGTACGGACTTGATAGAAGTTGACAGCTGCTTTTATTTTGGGAATGAAGTAAGTATGCGTTACAATCTACAGCCAGACGTTGCACATCAAAGGGTTATTGATTGGTGCAAAGAAAGAGAAACGTGTGCGCTTATTTACCTCAGCTAGCGTGTTTTCCATGTGAGTGAAAAAATCGTATTTCTATTACGCAAGGAAAAGCTGTTACTACGAACTTCCAAAGTGTGTGTGTGTGTGTGTATTTCGATTTCAGTGATGAGAACTGCTAAGATTTATTTACTATCTTTTAGTGGCAGTCCTTTTCGAAGGTACAGCACGCAACACGAGAAGAAATGCATTAACATATTTGGCAAAATATGTGTGATAATAAAAACTGCGTTAACACATCACTGTACAAAAAAAGCGTCAAAATATAGGTCGTACTATTATTGCACAAGTAGCAAACGAATGTAGCCAACCATAGGAAGCATCTACTCTCTCAGCCACGATTGTAACAACAAGCTACAGAGCATCTGTCAGAAGTTCATAGCAATGCCGGAAATGAAGCTAATCTGGATTGCGCTTCGATACAATACTGTGCGATATTGACCATTCGCGATTTCAGTTAGCGCATTTTGCTCCACCAGTATAGCTAGCATTTCTATTATGACTGCTCTGTCAGCTGCTGTCAGCTGTTGATGGTCGCATTTTCATGTTTTGTTCAGTCTTTGGCAGTAAACTGGTACCAGAAAATACGAATTCTTTTTCAGTCTGACATTAATCCCAAGTGGTTTGTTTTATAAAGATTTACAGGATCGAAACAGTCTTGATTACAAATTTCTTTACTTATCCATTCATTAACCTCCTAAACTTCACGGACTGTAATGTAGTGCTAAAAAAATGCAACGAGACCGTCATCAGATTAGCAAAAGTTCCCAAAAATTCTTTTTTTAAGTTTCCTCCGCTCATAAAATATCTTTTCACATGTTTTATTGAGCTAATTAAGGCGTTTTTCTGTTTTCTTCTTTCACAAACAAGTTTTGCTGGAATGCTGCAATGACTTCGCAGCCTTTTCAGGCAGTCAAA